CGGCCGTCCGCTCGCGTTGAGCGCGTCCCGCATCGCGCCGTACTGCTCAAAGGCCGCATCGTGGTCGTTCGAGGCCCAGCACGAGTCGTACTTGAGGTAGTCGACGCCCCAGCGGGCAAACTGCGCCGCGTGCGCCGGCTCGAGCCCGCCCGATCCAGGCCGGAAGGCGCAGGTCTTCCACCCACGGTCGCCATACAGCCCAAACCGCAGCCCGCGCGCGTGCACCGACTCGACGAGGGCCGGAAGCCCGTCTGGAAAGGCGGCCGGGTCGGCAACGAGCTCGCCGCTCGGGTCGGTGGCCGTCGCCCAGCAGTCGTCGACGTTGAGATACGCGTAGCCCAGCTTTGCCAGCCCCAGCTCGACCATCGCCACCGCGATCGCATCGATGGCGTCGGCGGTGACTCCCTCACACCGGAGATCGTTCCACGTGTTGTAGCCCATCGCCGGACGCAGGCCGACGCCGTTGTCGAGGCCGACGGGGCCGACGAAAAGGCACAGCATTTTTCACCAGGCCGAGACTGGGTTCGGGCTCCTGCGGGTGCTGGTGGGCTGCGCGCGTCTCGTTTGTTTCTCTTGGCACCTTGGAGTGCTGGGGGGGGCGACAGGAAGAATGTGGCCCTGAGTTATGTGTACGCCAACTCAGGGTGTGTGGCAGCCAGCTGGCTGTGTGTCTTGTGAGCTTGTTTGCGACTTTGCGTCTGTGTGAGAGAGAGATTTTTAGAAGCCAACAAGAAATGTGTCACACCAGAGTGATTTGCGCTCGGCAGCTTGTCGACTACCAGCCGGAGCCACTCTTCTCTTCTGTGTGTCGCTCGTGCGTGTCGTCATTGTCTGTCTCGCGTCCACCCATACCGCGTTGGTGTCCAGTCCGAGCCTGGCTGTTCTTCACCTTTCTACCTACCTACCTACACGTCGAGGAATCCTGTTCTCCATTACTCGTTTTGGCCCTCTCTCTACTCTCTCCGACGAGCGACGACGACGGTCCCTCTCCCACTGCCTCCCACCTCCCACCTCGACGCACGAGCGACCGGCGCGTTTCTTTTGGTGTTTCGAGCTTTATATTATACGCTCCAAGTGCTTCACGGGACAAGAGGCGCATAGCTTGCGCGGTACCACACCACTACACTCACCTGATTCTTCTTTAGCACCGCCTCCCGGGGATATAAAATTTTACCACGCGCCTCTGCGTGCGGACCCTCACAGCTCACAGCTCACCTACTACCGTCGTCCTTTGCCGCCTCCGCCCTTTCCACCGCCCTTTCCACCGCCCTTCCCTCCCCTGCCGCTTCCTTTGCCGCCGCCCCTGCCGCCGCCCTTGCCGCCGCCCCTGCCGCCGCGAGCCG